TGAGAGATAATTGAGTCAGGAACTGTACAAACTCAATTATCTCCAGGTACAGAAAAATATAACAATTTTACAACACCCAAAAAGTTTGTGTAGGTGGTCTGGAACTTAAACGGGCAGCAGTTCCATCTTCACCGGTGTTCGCGGGAGTGCCAAGCCGAAATCAGTTCCAGGCACTCAACAACCAAGTACCGCTGCCTGCGTTCGGGAGACAAAATGACCGCCATCCATTCTGTCGACCACATGCAATCGGTTGCACGAAAAAGCAGCCACCCAGGGGAGCATTATATTAATTGTTTCCATTGCGGTTTTCATACTGGATACTTAGTGATCCATGTTCTAATGAGGTGATGGGGTGGTCCTCGTTTGGGAACCGTACCAGGTGGGTTCGAACAAATAAACGAACATAAAGGAAACAAAATGTGCTGAACCAAATGATGGGGGTATTCCTTCACAGGGGTGATGTGATATAAGTTATAAATTTGTCTTCTTAAATTTTGTCCTAACTGCAATAGTGTAGCATCGTTAAAAACCTAATTAAAACCACCATCAAAGGGGGGCGGAGCCTGACAACTGAACAGGGCAGATGTGTGATGCCTGAGCTCCCGCGACTTGCACCCAAAAACCAACAATAATCCTGAATATATGCCTCACCTGGATGCAAGGCACAAGTAAGCCTGCAACTCAAAAGCTGGTGGTGCTGGAGACCCACTTAGTGGACCTCTCCCACGCTGGAAACCCCAATCTGAGGCTTTGCGGCCTACCAGTGACCGAGTGGAGGAGAGGTGGCCGTTCTCCCCACTGCTTCAACTGGCAATGAGCTACTCGACGAGTGCAGTCGTCCTCCCCCCCGGACTGGTGGGGGTTATCTCGGCCCCCCTGGCTTGCACCAGACCCGAGCGCGGCACTCTGTTGCCCGAAACCAAACATGAGGTGAACCCGACCAACTCAGTTAAGATGGCAGACGCGCTCCCTGACCAGGGGCGCAAACTGCACAAACTGGCAGAAGATGGACCGGGCTCGGTAAAAGGCATGCTACAATGCCTTGACAATCTATTTGACCAATTCTGGCGCAAAATAGAGACTTGACAGCAGCACCCACCCCCACAACCACAGCAATGGCAAAGGGTCGCACAAAGCCAGGGCCTCTCAAGGGCAAAACACCCGCCAAAGCATCGGGACACCCTCCACCTCACTTACCAAAAAGAAGAGCCACCTCGGTAACAGCCCCAAAGCATATTTCACGACGACTGTGTCGCAACTCCTACACCCAGAAGTGGACCACACCAGGCCCCTGCAACCCAGCGGAGCAAGACCGGAGGTACCCTATAGCTTGGCCTCACGGACCCCAGCCGCAGATCCACCCGCAGACCCAGAGGGTGAGAGAACACAACCCGGCTCACCGACCTCACAAAGCACCACCCAGAGACTCTCCCAAAACACTGAGCAGAGGCATAGGCTGAATTCACTACACCACCCTGGGTGCAGCACCAGCAACCCCTGGGACATACTTCCATATGCTGCTTTATCATACCAGCACGGATGATACCGCCAACCCAAGTTAAATTTCTGTTCTGCCAGAATTGATGTTTTACTTCCATGCCTTTACCTATGCTCACTCCAAGACACATAGGGGTAACTCAGGGGTTATACTAATATAAATGGGTTACGAACAGGCCATACAGAAGGTCAGCCTATCAGGAACCTGTTTACAATCCTACACCCAGCCTAGTTCACATGGGCAGTTTTCACCCCTTATACATGCTGCTGGCCAGTTGAGGAGCTCTAGCCCGATATGATAACTAGGGTGAGAAGCAGTATTACCCACCTTCTTACTACCCACATATACAGAGATAACCATGCCGGCCAACTAAGGGCCACTATTTACACCACACTTAATTTGATTTCTGCCAGAACACCAACTCAGGCTACCAAACACGCTTGCCAATGCAAAAACACATGAATGAATAAGGTCACACTTCCATTAGTGGGCTTGCCGGGGGGCGTCACAACTCACTAGTTCAACACTAGAGTTTAACCTGTTTCTACTTTATACAATCTCATATATATAGCTGAAACAGTTCACCAAACTTGTTTATGTGCGCTATATACTAGGAACCTTGTTCGTTTAAATCATTTAATACTTATGCAACACATTCTCCTGTCAAATGCACACTTAAGTATCTGTCTATCCTTGCCTACAGTGTTGCTTACACTAAAATGAGAAAACTAAACTGTTGAAATGCTACCTTTACAAAAAATGTGCCAGACTTGCAAATGTCACATCATGCAATGTAACCTGAACGTTAATTTACCCTGATGTCGCTGTTGTGGTGCACCAAGATTGTCTGTTAAAACATATGCACAACAAAAATAAAGAATTGAATAAAAAAAACACCATCAAAAATAAATAAAGAAAAGCTCAAGGCCTAAAATTATTTCAAACTGGTGTTAATTATGATTGTAATTGGTTAACTCAAGACAAGGTGCTGCAGCAACTAAAGAAAATTAATGTAAACAAAGCTCCAGGGCCTGACGGTATCCATTCACAAATATTGAAGAAGTCCTTTAGGCAAAACTCATTTGTGGATATTTTTACTGTGTATTTTATACATTAACGATTTTTTGGTCACCTTTTATTGTGCCAATCATCTTTTAATACACTTTATACTTTGTTTTTTATCTGGCATTTTTTACTATCCTGGACTCCAAGTAATCCTCGGTGGGGATCATACCACCAACGCTACCATCAAGGAGCAGTCTGCCTGCTCCATTCTTGTGAGTACAATTTTAAATATATTTTATTTCACTACTGTTTTATTCTGAGAGCACTATTGGTCGTCTCTTTTATTCTCTTTGAGTGGTCAACATATCTTTGAAGGAGGAAGCCTGCATTATATCCCATAAGCGAGGATCATACTACTGTACTCTTTCCACACTAGAGCTAGCTATAGCTCTAATACATGTGAGTGCATTACTATCTTCTTTTATCATCTGTTGTACCCTATTGAACATACCACACTATTTGGTTTTCTATTTGTTTTATCTTTTCATACTATTGGATCCCCCTGGGGAAGGACAGCGAGGACATTGTTCTTGACCAAGCACTTTATAGACTATTTGATCTAAGGAAGATCTATTCAGATAAGACTTTTGTATTTGGACTACTCCCTTATTATATTATATATTTTATTGGTCTAATTTGGCGCAGCCTTTATTTTTGTTTTCTCCATATAGCTGACTCAGACCTTACAGTTCACCAATCTTGTTTATGTGCGCTACATAGTAGGAATCTTGTTCGTTTAAATCATTTAATACTTGTGCAACACATTCTCCTGTCAAATGCATACTTAAATATCTGTCTATCCTTGCCTACAGTGTTGCTTACTCTAAAATGAGAAAACTAAACTGTTGAAATGCTACCTTTACAAAAAATGTGCCAGACTTGCAAATGATCATGCAATCATGCAATGTAGCCTGAACGTTAATTTACCCTGATGTCTCTGTTGTAGCGCACCAAGGTTGTCTGTTAAAACATGTGCACAACAAAAATAAAGAATTGAAAAAAATAAAAAATAAAACCACCATCAAAAATAAATAAAGAAAAGCTCAAGGCCTAAAATTATTTCAAACTGGTGTTAATTATAATTGTAATTGGTTAACTCAAGACAAGGTGCTGCCACAACTAAAGAAAATTAATATAAACAAAGCTCCAGGGCCTGACAGTATCCATCCACGAGTACTTAGGGAACTAAATGTAGAAATAAGTGAACCTCTGTTTTTAATCTTTCAAGATTCTTTTCTTTCAGGAAGTGTTCTGGAGGCAGATGTGGTTTCTATATTCAAAAAGGGTTCAAAATCCTTACCTGGAAATTATAGACCTGTGAGCTTAACTTCTGTGGCTGGGAAAATATTTGAAAGGTTATTAAGGGATAATATTCAAGAATTCCTTGAGAAGAACATGGTTATCAGCAAAAATCAGCATGGTTTATTAAAGCACAGGTCATGTCAAACTAACTTGATTGCATTCTACGAAGAAGTAAGTAGAAGTATAGATCAGGGTGTTGCAGTGGATGTGATCTATTTGGATTTTGCCAAGGCATTTGATACAGTTCCACACAATAGATTAGTGTTCAAACTCAAGGAAATCGGTCCAGATGAAAATGCTTGTTCTTGGGTAGAACTTTGGCTTAAAAATAGAGTACAAAGAGTTGTCAATAATGGTAAATTTTCAAGATGGATAGAGGTGGCAAGTGGTGTCCCTCAGGGTTCTGTTCTGGGACCCCTTCTATTTAACAGGTTTATAAATGATCTTGAAAAAAGCATTGAAAGTCATGTTTCAGTGTTTGCAGATGACACAAAACTCTGTAAAATAATACAATATGAGCAAGATATTACTTTGCTGCAGAGGGATTAGATAGACTGGGGGACTGTGCACTCAAATGGCATATGAAATTTAATGTTGAAAAATACAAGGTTATGCACTTTGGTGTAAAGAATACACAAGCAACGTATACCCTTAATGAAAGCGAACTAGGGATAACAACACACGAAAAGGACTTGGGAATTGTTATAGACAACAAACTATGCAACAATGTGCAATGTCAATCAGCAGTGGCTAAGGCCAGTAAGGTATTGTCATGCATGAAAAAGGGCCTTCATTCTCAGGATGAGAATATAATTTTGCCTCTTTATAAATCACTGGTAAGACCACATATTGAATATGCTGTGCAATTTTGGGCACCTGTTCTAAAGAAGGATATTATGGGACTAGAAAAAGTGCAGAGGCGGGCTTCAAAATTAATAAAAGGAATTGAACATATCAGCTATGAAGAAAGGTTAACAAATTTAAACCTATTTAGTTTAGAAAAATGTCTGAGAGGGGATATGATAACATTATACAAATATATTTGGGGCCAATACAAACCATTGTGTGGAAATCTATTCACAAACCGGACTATACATAGGACACAAGGTCATGCGTTTAGACTGGAAGAAAGAAGATTTCGTCTAAGGCAAAGGAAAGGTTTTTTTACTGTAAGAACAATAAGGATGTGGAATTATCTGCCTGAAGAAGTGGTTTTATCAGAGTCCAGACAGATGTTCAAACAACTACATGCATACTTGCAAAAACAGAATCTTCAAGGATATAATATTTCAATGTAGGTAATAACTGCTTGATCCAAGGATAAATCTGACTGCCATTCTGGGGTCAAGAAGGAATTTTTTTTCTTAGTTTGTTGCAAAATTGGAAGTGCTTCAAATTGGGTTTTTTTGCCTTCTTTTGGATCAACAGCAAAAAACAGGAAGGCTGAACTTAAAGGATGCAAGTCTCTTTTCAGCTATGTGACTATGTAACTATGTAATATGGACACAAGGTGGGAAGTACCAATGTCAGGTAAACCTGGCCAGGTGAGGGGAAAGTACATATGAGTATTGCAAGGATGTGGACAAAAATTACCCATTTTGGTAAAAATTATTGCCAAAATTTTTTAAAGAAAAATCTCAAAAGGCACATTCCTTGATCTTGTATGATTGTCAGGGAAAAATGGCCTACAGACATACCCGGATTCATGTGCTATGAACTAAGTTTTGTCCACAGGGGAAGTGAGCAGCTGGTATGATCCTATACACTTGTGTTAATTCAATAGAACCTTCAACCTATACAAGAGATAACCCTTGTGTGTTTTAGGCAGAGCTATATCCAAGCTTTAAGTGCTATGAACACTTTAGCCAGTATATTCAGAATCTTCATCATTCCCGCACTGGTAACATTCTCTGATGTAGAGAGTCAATGTTATGTTTTCTAAAATGAGTCAGGAATTTGTGTTTTCGAAAGTTTTGGCGGTGTGGGGAAGGTTAAAGAGCTTTGCAGTGGTGTGATTTCTTTTAGCATTATGTATTAACTTTTTAATGTGCTCTGGAGAGCAGCAGGTACGGAGCTCCTCTGACAATTTTCCTTACTTGCTGTTTTTTTCCCCCAGCAAAGGAGTTAAATGCCTCAGCAGATGATTACATAAATGCAGCCACCAGCACTGTATACAAAGCACAATGTATTTTAGAAACATATTATCATGTGTGCAATTGTGTGGTCAACCATCGCTGTGCAAAAAATGGCATTTTACTTCATATGTAACATTTTGTATACTTGTCTCTATTCCAAGGATTAAAGGCCAATTTAATATTTATTGTGTCATTTGCTATACCTCTAATTTGCATTCTGTTTGTGGTATACATTGCTGTTCAGGGATATCTAAATATATCTAACATATGTACAATACATTTGTTTGTTCATGCTTTACAGACATATTAAAGGGATACAAAATGTACTGGTAATATCATAATCTTTATCTTGCAATATTTTTTTTTTTCCATGGAAACAGATTTAGCACTTTATTGCCACAGAGTATGCATTAAAAAAATAGAACTGAACCTAATAATATTGATGGGAAATAATGTATAAAATAATGTTTGTAAATGTTCATAATAATGCCCATATTCATCTGTATAATAAAATACATTGCAGGTTGTTCTTTCAGTCCACAAAAATCTGTTTAGTGAACTTTTTCCAGAGTGATTTCACTCCTTTTAGCAAAAATTGAAGTTCCTCCTCAGAGACGCCAAAGGATAGAGTAGGTCTGAGAAGTTAATTTCTATGCAGTGTGATGAGCATCAATGGAGCACAGAATACGTCAATATAGTATATACAGGCTAAAATCACTGATGAGCAGTAAAATATATTGTAAAATGGTCAGTAAAAAAATATGTGCATTTACTCAGTTTGCTTTCTGGATGACTGGTGACTTCAAATTATTTTGCTCTAAACAGGAAATCATGTTTTCTTCCAGCCGGGATATTCTTTCAGACAACTGATCGCATTAGTATTGCTGGAAACGTTCCACAAGGGATATTTCAATTTCTTCACCCTTGGGCTGCTTTGAGATTATATGATACTAACTACTTTAATGTATTGGCAACAATAAAAAATAGCAAATGTGTTTACAATGCTTGCTTTATTGTTATTGTAATTGTATAAGAATGAACTCATATAATAAACAGTTACAAAAGATAAACAGCTATAGTCATATTTTGTTTCAATGCATTAACAAATCAACAATACATTGTTAAACTATAATTAAAATGTCATAGTTAAAAGCACAAAAACACCTTAAATATTTAAACAAGTGAACACTTTGTTTTTAAATCTAGCTGGGTTGTGCAGTATGATGGCTCCAACAAATATTTAGCATATATACTAATGTGCCATTAATTCATGTAATAGTACTTTAAAGGATCAGTATAGGCCATGTAGTTTTAGTCCTGCAATGTAAAATTTTGCCAACTTGTAGATACAGCAAAGCTTTTATTGCAAGGCTAAACACCCTGACAGCCACTAGAGGGTGCTCCTGTGACTTTCGACATCCACAGTCATTGCATGAAGATGTTGAGCATTTTCTAATGGTGCACCATTGGATTGAATGTTTCTCTGTCAGGCGCAATTGAATGGATAAACGCAAAGCTTACTGTGCATGCACTTCTCATCCCCAATGCTTCCTTATGAGAAGCATGGGATTTGAAGAAGATGAAGAAGAGACTACCTGCAGTACAATGTCACCATAGACAGAGAAGGTGGCTGAGTGGATGAGTCTCAGCACTGTAAAAAAGTTGAGTAAAACCATTTTTTCCTTTTTTTTATTTGGGGGAGTGTCTGACTCTAAATAGGGAATATGCTTGTATTCCCAAATCTGTATTGTTCCTTTAACAATTAAGCAGTTTTGTCATTGACTATTTTGTTGATTTAAGTAAGGTTGCATAACAAAACATAACAGGTTTTAGCACATCTACAAACTAAAAATTATTCAATAGAGAGAAAATAGGGAAAGGGAAATACTACATGTTTAAATAATTTTATAGAATATTCCCATTTTAAGTTGATCTTCTACCAAATAAAGTATCTTGACTGAAAATGTCAAAAGACATACTTCACAATTCACACACATATTTACATATTGCTGATGCCTGCTGTCATGCAAAAGTCAAACAGTGGATTGTTGGCCAAAGAAAGACATCCATACTGTGGATAAAAAGAGTCTAGAATCCAGTTAGGCATTCTGAAATTAAGTATATTAAAATATTTATAATGTTGATATGTGTGCTAGATTTCCTTACTGATCACAAATTAGTGAAAACTAAATGTATTTTATATTCTATCCTTGTGGGTGTTGTCAAGGTTTTGATTTTCGTTCTGGAATCATAGAAGACAAAATGTCAAATCTTCAAGAATGACATGCACCACCTCAACATGTATCACCTCCTCGAAATGTTTGTCTTCATAAGGCTTCAGAGGATATCCGTACAGGGGACAATATTGAGTTAGTTAACATTTGAGTCATGCTTTAATGAAGAACCTGTAAATAAAAACAACACATCAACAGCATTTTTAATTTATTAAAACAATCTGTAGGCACAATACACATTATTACAGTCCATGTTATTAAAGGATGAACAGGAAACAAGAAATAGTGGTATAATTAGAAGACACATATTTTTGTCATCACTCTATGTAAAGTAAACAGGGTCTAGTTTTAAAATGTACAGAAAAAATCAAATGCAACACATGAAAAGCCTTTGGAAAAGGTTTAACTTCATTCCAAAATATCAAGATCTCAACCTCTGATTGTTTTGTCAGTAGTTTTTAAGTTTAGCATTAGCTTGCATATGTTCATTTTCAGCTACAAAAGCACTGCTGAAATTGAGTTAACCTGCTGAAGCAAAGGTGGCACTCAGTGTTTACTAAGTTTGCTAACACTTGGAGGCTTCACCAGACTAAATCTAACCAAACATAAGTTCCCAATAGTTTAGTAACATGGCTATTAGCCAACCAAGATCATGGATATTCCATTTCTGCTATGTGTAAAACTATAGAGCTGCACAAGACCTGGGAAGCAAGCAGATATTTTAGAAACTATTAGGCTAAGCTTCAGTTTTGAAGAAGAACCTGGTCAAGCTAAATTGATTTTTTTAAGTAGCTGAAACAGAACATTAACAGTCTGATTTAAAGAAAAGGATCCTATTATAATTTTGAATCTCCCCCTGAGTTACTCAATATCTCTGCAAATGGCTCCTGCATAAAGTCTTGCTCACTTCAAAATGTTATATCATCTGCTGTTGCCTCTTCTAGTAGTGCCCCTTGATCTTACAGACCACATGAATCCTTTGTAATTTCTAGTGATATCGTCTGTCTAGGTGACATAATCTTCATATATTCAACAATGATGCTGATTTTCTCACCTCTAACATCCAAGCTTGTAAAACCCTTTAATTATTTTGTCAATCACTTTGAAAATTGTTGGTGCTTTATACATGACAATAGGGTGAGACAATTTTCACATCATTACCAAAGCATTGATGATAAGCCAGTCTTTGGGGAGCATTGTTCTTCAACATATCTAGTGCTAAAGGCAATGTTGTGTATACAGGTTGGTAGAAATCTCCATCCCACAGATGGATCACATCTGACAACAGACATGCTTTTTTTCTCCCTCTCTGTAGTCTATAGAAAACAGCCTCACAACTTCTTGTTGGGTAGGATCCCAAGCAAGTGACAGTGCTTGCCTTCAAAGAGGGAATGGCTGTCCAGTGTTTCTTGCCACCAGCTCAGTACAACCCAGTCTCCCCAAAGCAAAATCTACATCTTGCCTTGCAATTCCCTTAATACTGTAATAAAAAATACTCCCAGTTGTGGTCTTCTGAAGGTCACTGTGCTCGTTTTCCTAGTATTATTGCCTGTTATGGCTTCCTTCCATGAAACTACAATCCTACCCATGTGTGCTACTTAGAGTAGACACATAATAGGCAGTGAATAAGCCCAACCAACAGGACTCCAGTTATGGGCTTCCCTCTTTCTAACACCATATTTTCTGTTGGAAGAATTACGCTTGATTTTAATGTGCACTGTGTCTATTAAATAGGTACTACAGGCACCCAGTCCTCCTCATCTCAATGAAGTGGTCTGGATGCAGAGCCCCTGTCAGTTTAACGCTGCATTGTAAAACATTGCTGTTTTGAAGCCTTCCTGACTGCCACTAAAGGTGCTTACAGAGTTAGACTCAGTTATTCAATCAATGCTTTTTATAGAGAGCCTTTTATTGGTGCAGTGTTGCATTTGCCACACATGCGCACTAGCCTTCTAGTGATTCCCTATGGGAAAGCATTGGATTGGCAAAAATCATTACACTGATGATATCAGCCAGAGAGGTAGGGTGGCCACAGCAAGACCATTGCATTGTTGGAAGTAAGATAAGTAAATCGTACCTTTCAATCCTTAAAGAGGACAGTCACCTAAATAGTGAGGAGAATACTGTAACATTACAGATCAGAGAAGATATGAAACAATGTTTCTGTTTCTCCTTCTCCTTTGATATGTGTGCCCTGGTTGTGCCAGGGACAGAACTGAATTGTGATGTCATTTGCTAAATCTTTAATATAAATTTAAAAGAAAATGGAGCACCAACAAAAAAGGTTGACACAAATTATTTGGTTATTTTCATTGTTTTATTACATGGTATATTTTCCAGAGAAGGGACAGTTCTTGGTGAAAATGTGCTGTTTCTACATATTTTTTTTTACAATTATCTGGTGAGCCAGTCTGGAGGCTGGTATTAACGGAGAAACACTCTGGATTACCCTTATTCTCTAAACATGTTACTATTAATAAAATAGCTAGACAAAAATCAAAATCTAGACTCTGATAAATATGACACAACCCAAATTTGGGAAAAAAAATAAAAAAATTAAAACCAGACTTATTTTAAAAAAATATTTGTCAAAGTCCAATGGTAAATCTTTAAAAGTTCCTTTATCTTTAGTTTACTCCATAGTGTAGGTCCCGATATATATATAAAATAAAAATATATGTAAGTTGTCTCCTACTTAATCCAAGCAGAGATTTGATGCTTTTAAGTTTACTTTATTAGAGGCATTCCTCATAAAGATAGAACATTCCATAAAATATAGGCATAGACAATTTGTGTCTCCGTCTATAATTGATGTCTAATACATTAGATGTATAAAAGTGCAGACCCTAGATCGATCTCTCGGCGCCCGAGTGAGCAGCGTGTTGTTGCTTGCTACACTGAATTCAAATCAGGGTCTTAGGCATTAGGTATTAATGTAGGTTTTATTGTTATGATTTCTCTATATCGATTAAGAAAATGTTAAACAAAACCATAAAAAAATAATTCTTTGGATTTTATTTGAGATTTTATTTGAGAAATCTTAACAGTAACATTTATTTTCTGTGCAATCCAATTTGTGGCCACAAGAGGGCACTGAAGTACAACCAGGCAGAATTTCAGCCTTGACCTGTTGCCTTTACTTAATTTCTTTGAGTTTTGGCATTTCCGTAAGCATTTGATATCTGCTGGATAGAGCAATGTGTTATGAGTATGATGATGTAGCTCTAATATTTGTCTTTGCTTTTAGAAAAGTGACATATTTCCCTTGGCTATAAAGACTCGCAATGCTTCTTGAGTCAATGTCCCCCATGTTTCCTCGTAGCTCCTCTTTACATGTGATTTCATTAATTATCAAAGTACAAAGTCTACATGTATTCTATATTAATTTGGGTGTTTTGTATACACCTTGATATTAATAAATGGTTAGCCAGTGTTTTAGGTAAAGAAACAGCAGTAAATATCTATGAGTTTTTTACAACTTCTTTAAAATGTAATCTAAAATTACCATATTGTATTGCTTAGTATGTGATCACTTTTCTAGTAAGTGATCTTGTGTTACCGAGAGAGGATTCAGTTGGATAGTGAGTAACTGCTTAATTTACACTCTGCACTATAATTAAGGCCTCTTCCAACACTCTCTCTCCAGTCCCAGTGCATGTTCTTACTAGAATACATGTTTAGGGTCCACCATTACCAATGATTGATGAGTGTCCCTTGATCTTATGGAGATCATGGAATTCTGGCCTTGGGCTTGAGGACCCCTAGCACATTGTGATATTCCACACTACAAGGAGATGAAGAAGATAGTGGAAGAATTAAATAAAATTTATATGGATTATTAGCGCCCTCTAAAACCCATACTAGTTACTATGAGGTTTATTACCGTTTAGTTAATAGAATCCTTGGGGACTCCCACTGGGAGCATTTACTTGCTCAGAAAAAGTGAGTGCACTAGTAACTGTAATGTAGGCTTTATTTTGGATTAATTTCTTTTTGTACATATTTGCCCAACTGTGTCCATGAGTAACAAATCAATATTCTGTTTAGGTGTCTAAGGATCTAAATCGAATTGATCCGACATCCATGTTGATATATACATAAATTCGAAATATCTACATCTATATATATATTTTTTTAATTCTTTATAACTTTGATTAGATTTATATCAAACTACTTCAAGAAGAATTTATCTGATCGTATTTTATGCTTCTGATAAAATTATTTTTTTAGTTATAATGCCTTTCATGTCAAGTATTTGAATGCATTACTTCCCATGTTATAGTTATTTAGTATTCTAAATACCCTTCGTTTTTCTATTTTTAAACAAACACATCTATTGTATTTTGTGTCTTCTTGAATTAGTACTTGCTCACATTTTATATGGGTATTTCTATTATTTCTAAAAGTTATTAGAACGTCGTAGGATTTTTCATTGTTTAGATCTGACTTTCCAATTAGGTTGTCAATCACTTTAAAATAATAAATAAACACTTAAAATTTGAGCATCAAGGTTTATAAACATGTCAGATGATAAACTTTGCTATGTTTCCTTTAGTGTTAGGATGAATCTGGATAAGCAGATAATTATCTATATATTTCATTTAAATCCCAGACATTTCACCATACGATAAATCAATAGAAATGACTTCCAATAAAATAAAGATGTTTGACAGTTTGACAGTGTTTATGATGTTTTTCACACAAAATGTAACCACTAAAGAGTAATAATTTGGGATTTTTTTCCATCTGAGCGAATGGCAGGAACAAAGAAAAAAGGTTAAAGGGACACTGTAGGCACTGTATCTGCTTCATCTCATTAAACTGGTTATAGTGTCTGGAGTCCCCTGGTACCATAATTTCTTTCAGCATTAAACAGTTTTTAATGTTTTAATGTTTTAATGC